CCCCCGGTGCAGACGGGAAGGGCCCCGGTACGGGCCCCCGGTGCAGACGGGAAGGGCCCTGGTACGGGCCCCCGGTGCAGATGGAATTGGAAATGTTAGCCTGGGACTTCAGAGGGCTGGGAAAGAAGTGGAGAACCCTCAGCAACCAAGCAGGCAGAACCACAGAACCAGAGCACAGTAACCCAAGGAGAACTCTCAGGGGAAAGGAGGGCAGCTACGGACACTGTGGTGACCTCCAGGTTTCTTTCCATATCACTTTTACTTTTTCTTTTAATTCTGGAAAAGCTGCTGAGCATCAAAGTGCAGGTTCCAGTCAGAAGCACAGGGCAGTAACAGCAAAAATAAAATCAGCGACTAATTACTGAACACGTCCATTGTGCTCTAGGCACTCGCTCCAAGCAGGGCTCGAGGGGGGATACCAGGGATGTGTGACAAATACATCAAAATGAAGATCACAAACTTTTAATGACTCCAATTTATAGCTGCAGCGACTGTCTTGCAGAGTGAGCTCCTGGGATTGGGAATGGGGTTAAGAGCTGAGGGGCAGACGTTGGACTGCATGTGTCCAGGACCTGGGTACACTGTGGCCAGCAGTAGGAAATGAGGAGATGGATGACAAGTCACAGGGTGGAGGGCCTGGGGTGGCCAAGAGGTTTGAAGGCCATAGCCTATGGAGCAGAACCTGGTCCAGATACATTACTTGGCCCACTCAAGGGCTTTAAAAACCTCGGTTACCGGCTTCCCAGCATGCATCTTTAAACACGAATATTAGACTTACTCTTCGTAACACTGGAGAGAGCAGCTGGCTGCCTTATAGATTATCTGGTCACCTGCTTACTTCTGGGCACATTTAAACAACTGGTTTGATGCTACTTTTCAAATAAGCAGTTGGCATAAGCCTCAAAGAAAGAGGGTGTTTTTATCTTTTGTATCTGGGGTGGGGGCAGCACTAGTCTGCAAAGGATGAACCGCCCTGACCACAGAGATAGGCAAAGGCTGCGGCTGAGCAGCCATCCCACGTGACAGCACCCAAGCCACGCAATCACGACTTTCAGAGCTAAGAGCTACTCCTATGCCTTTATCAGTGACAAATACACGGTCCCAATCAATGCAAGTGACAGTCATGTTGTCAGAGTCTGGTATCTCATACCCAGCCAGAGTCAGCATTTGTGCATTTGTATAACTTTTTGTATTAACTGCTTCATTTATAAAAATCATGCCATTAAAAAAATTAGAAAAAAGAGACATGCTCACAGAAGGGGAGTTAATGCTTGGAGATAAGATACTGGAGGGTTTTTGTTTTGGGGGACAGTCTTGCTTGCTCTGCAGCCCTGACTAGAGTGCAGTGGGATCATCAGCAGAGCTCACGGCAACCTCTAACTCACTCCTGGGCTCAAGGGATCCTCCTGCCTCAGCCCCATCCTGTGCCACCAGGCCCCGCGAGATTCTTGAATGTTTTTAAATTGTGTTCATACAAGTTATTTTTAAAAACTGCAGCCAAGTCTTTATAGAGTGACTTTTTAGTTACTGCATTAAGACTTTCATTTCACTGTCTGTGAGAGTGATACTGAAAGCAGACATTCCATACTATGTGTTAACTCCCTAGGCTGCACTTTTGGGTTATTTCCAATCGATGCATATCCTGGGGAATAAATTCTCACACATCCCTAGGGCAAAAACCTGAACATGGAATTTCTGGGTACAAGATGATTTTAATTTTTATGTTTGGACAAGTATAATTTGTGTTCAATGCAAACATGGGGAAAAGGAAAGCCACCCCCATTCTCTCACTAGCTACCGTTAACATTTTATTATTCATGCATCTAAATACACGTCACTACGAAAGTCTTGCGACGGACTGTGTTATGGTCTATTATTTCACTTCTAAGAAACACACTTGACAGCGTCCTTTCTGATTCACTCATGCAAGTTTCAACTTGCTAGGCTTATCTATGTTGCTGGGAGGACTTCAGTTGTTTCTGTCTGTGCAGTTTCTTGATCTTTGTGTATCTGAAAACTTTTGGAATGACATGTATGGATTTTTCTTTCAAAACCCATGCCATATGCACTGTAACACACACACGCTAGGTATGATGCACAGATGAAGGCTTCTCTCCTTGACCACAATACTACTTCTGGTCCCATAGTGCTCACTGGATGGATGCACTACCATTTTAACCAACCCACAGTTGTAATGTGTATTAATAAATGGTTTGGTTTTTGCCTGAACCCCTTTAAGCCTAATATATAAATATTTCTGGATACTGGTTCAATTTTTACCCCTCTCAGCTCTAGAAGTAGAACTGCTGAAAGAGCAAGACTTACTTAAAAGTCTCTAGATATGTATTATTAACCTGTCGACAGTAAAAATCAAATAGAGTTACGGAACCATCAAACTTTACCGAGACCACACTGTTTTAATGAATCCAGCTAATATATATGTAATTTTTATGGCGCTTGCCCCCTCCTAACTACTTTCCCAACCCACATCTCTCCCTATTTTACATTTCACGAAATACTTCTACTATTTGGGGATATCATGATCAGTTTCCAAAAATGTCAGGCTGAGGCTGGGTAGAAGGAAGACAGATTTGGGATTAATAATATTAACTTGATATCCACAAACACACACTACATACCCAGTTAGGAAACTCTTTTATGGATCTCAGTAAAGTCTGATAGTCCCATGACTCTATTTGATTTTTACTATCTACAGTGAATGTTTTATTTCTTTTGTTTTCCAGTCCCACAGTGATCGGAAAGACATGCACGCTATCTGAAATCTCCTAAGTAGTTACGCCTCTTGAGGTCTTAAAAATGTTCTTGATCCTGTTTCATTATCATCCCCGCCTTTAAAAACAGAAAGCAAGACTACTCCTAAGGTCTCTTCCCACTTATTGTTCCTTTATGAACAGTCTGGAATTTTACGAACAAAAAGTTACACCTGTGGTTTCTGTCTTACTTTTTAACAATGAAGTTTAAAAAAACCCAAAAAACTTAAAAATAGAAAAAAGCTTATAGCATAAGGATGTAAAGAATATTAGTTTTGTAGAGACACACAATGTGCTTATGTTTTAAGCTGTTACTGTAAGGCAAAGTTAAACAAATTAAAGTTCATAAAGTTACAATGAACGAAGGTGAACTTATATCTGAACAAGGAAATTTTAAAAAGGCTCGGCACCTGTGGCACAGTGGTTACGGCGCCAGTCACGTACATGGAGGCTGGCGGGTTCGAAACGAGCCTGGGCCAGCTAAACAACAATGACAACTGCAACAAAAAAATAACCGGGTGTTGTGGTGGGCGCCTGTAGTCCCAGCTACTTGGCAGGCTAATGCAAGAGAATCACTTGAGCCCAAGAGTTTGAGGTTGACGTGAGCTGTGATGCCACGGCACTCTACGCAGGGTAACACCGTGAGACTAGCTCGAAGAAAAAAGAAAAATTACCATTTTTAAGAAATCTTTTAGGCCATATTTGTACTGTACCTTTTCTATGTTTGGATACACACACATTAATAATATGCTACAGTTTCCTATAGGATTCAGCACAGTCATGCTGTACAGGTGTGTGGTCTAGGGACCACACTGCATTGCACAGGTGTGTGATAGCCTACGCCATCTAGGTTTGTGTAAGTGCACACTCTGGTGTCTGCACAACAACAACAAAGCCACCTATGTATTTCTCGGAATGCAGCCCTGTCATTAAGCGATGCATGACTGTACTTCCCTCAGGCTTGAAATTGAGGGAAGTACAGTCAATTGTAAGGGTAACTGTCCTCAGCAGAGAAGGGGAAATCAAAGCCAGTAAGACAAGCTCCCTGACCTCAAAGAAACTGACTGAAGATAATGGTTAAGCACAAAGAGATCGTTATAATAATGGGCAAGATTCACTGCGCACCGTGTCAGGCACTGTTCTGAACACTTTGTAGGAGTTCCCTCATTTAATCCTGACAACTCCTGTATAATGTTTGAGTAACATTGCTATTTTATAGAGGATAAAAGTGAGGCACAGAAAAGATAAATGATCAAGACAGCACTGCAAAAAAAGGCAGGACTGGAAAATAAAGCCACGAATGTAGGTAAAGGATCCACCTTAGCTCACCACCATACATGCAAGAGGAAGAGCCGGGCAAAGAACATCACGGGGAAAGAGAAAAGGAAACAAACCTAGCCAGATGCAGAAAAGCGGGCAACTTAGGACTAGCAACGTGGTAGTGAAGAGAAGGATAAGTCAGGCCGAGAGGACGGCCCAAGCCAGGGCAGAAGCCTTTCAAGGAGCAGAACTAGAGAATGAGCTTAGAACAAGCAATTTGTTGATGTCTGAGTCACTGCCACAGGCCTGTTGTAACTGACCTCCGGGTTTGCTCAATGAATGAGCAATCTTGGAAGGCTGTTGATGGGGCCGGTATTAAGATCTGATCACAGACCAAGTTCAAGGAAGAGATTAGCCTAAAGGAGGCACCAGTGAGCCAGGACCAGAACCCGGTCTGGGGCCTGTGCTGCCACCTCTTATTCTCCTCACCCCTTCTGCCACAGCGGGGGAAAGTGAAAATGCTCCCGCATCTGCGAAGACCCCTGAGGTGACACATCCCGAACAGGCTGTTCTGGAGAGGCCAGGTCATATGCTGAGAACCTGGTCTGCACCCACCATATGACAGAGCATCCTCTAAAGCAGCAGTTCTCAACCTGTGGGTCGCGACCCACAGGAACTGTATGAAAGGGCCACAGCATTAGGAAGGTAGAGAACCACTGCTCTGAAGGGTGGGGATTAAGAGCAAGGGCCAGGAAACTGGACATCCTTTTAAATCCCTCTTAACTCCATAAATAATCAACCTATTTTAAGTCTTCTTGTCTGCAAAATAGTGATAATGATAGCACCAAGGATTATGTGAATTGATACTTATAAGCCACACACAACAGTGTCTGGTGTATATATCAAGTGTAAAACAAGTATTTGTTAAACAAAACCAACCCTGGGATGTCCCCCAAATTCTTCTCTCAGCTCTTAGTGCTTATTGATTAAAACGTGGGTTTCCAACGGACTGAAATCGACCCAGAATAGGCTTGAGAACACACATTCTCCTACTATAAGAAACGTGCAAAGAACTCTTAACGTGGTCTCAAGGTTTGGTGAGCCCATCATCTGTGGGTTTAATTATCATAGCCAAGTTCAATTTCTGTTTATCGAGCACCTCAAAATGCTAAGTGGAATATAGCGTTTTAGAAAGAAGGTGGCTAATCAGATAGAAGCCTCATCCACTGGTTTTAATGTCTATTTTAGGATCAGCTCCGGATGCCTACGATCAAACTCATAATTGGCACAATTACTTATTCTTCTGAAATAGAATTTTGTAGACAGGAGTATAGCTTTCATATTATTGGACATATTTATAGAAAAGATACACTGTGTAATTCAGAGAAAAAGACCAATGGGAAAAGCTCGGTTGTATCTCACATTTCCAGTTACGTACCTGACAGTCATCCACGTCTACTTCAAGGAACACCACGTTGGAATACTTTTCAGAGAGGGACTGGAAAATGTGAAATGAAAAATTTAAAAAAAAAAATTAGAACTAGATGGATCAGCATATGGAAGGTTCTTACATGGAAACTTAATAGAGACTAAAGATCCAAAAATTTAGACTACGATCAGGTCAACATAAGGGACATACATTTTCTCTGAATCAAATTCTTCCCAGTATAAAACAATCTGGAACATTAACTTTAAGGCCAAAACTTAAAAGGGAGCCCATGTTTCAATTTGAAAAAAAAAAAGGCAAAACCATTTAAGACAAATGAAACCGACCTCTGAAAGTTGTCTTCAATGGGCTACATGTATCAAATTTAAATTATTTAAGTTGTTCTACTACTACCAAAGATCCAGCTAAAAAAAAACCCCTCGAAACAAAACCCTTTATTGTCCTTCCTTCCGAACTCTGTGGCCAATCCCCCAAACACAAATCTCTTATAAAGAAGTTGTTTGACACTCACATGATAGAAAGGCTTGATCATTTTGCAAGGCCCACACCACGTGGCCGAGAAGTCAACTACTACAAGTTTATCTCCAGCAGCATCCAAGGCTTCCTTAAAAGCACACTAAAAGGACAAAAAGGAAAGCACATGTTCAATAGTTTCATTTCCAAAAGCCTTGGAGACTTTGATGACACAAAGCCACAAGGACAACTTGGAGGTCTTGTTTTCAAGATCTACATCTTTGGGAAGAAAGGGGAACCCCAAACCAGCCAAATAAACTAGGTTTGAAGGGATCCTACACACTGTTGGCACTGCTATTTGTTAAGATGACAATGTAGAGTCTTTATGATTATTTTATAAAATATTGTAAATTAAAAAATAGATAGTTGCATTAAAACTATCTATGTATCAAATCTAGGTATCTGGGAGACATTCACTAAATGCTTGTGGACTGATGAAAAGGGCTCCCTTCAATTGAACAAGTCATAAAGGGCACAAGATTTTACAGCTGAAACATTACAAGTTACTTAAGAAAGTCAGGGAAACCAACCTCCCCCAAGCCCCAACACTCAAGACAATCACTGTTGACATAAGCACATTTTCTTGTGCTCTTTTTTATGGGGTTTCCCAAGCTGAAATCACACTGTTTATAGACCTTTGATTTTTGCTACGCCCACACTGTTCATTAAATGACCTATGGTTTTAGTTCCTTATGAAAGACATTTTCCTTAAATATTATTTTGCATAGGAATGTATGTTAAATAAAATTCCCAGCGGAAAAGTACGAGAAATCCCTTACTAGCAACTTCCCTAAATTATTTACCTTCCGTGTTGGTACTGTAACCCTAGGAATCTTACATTCCAATTATAAAGGACTTATTTTAACCACAATTAGTCTGTTGGTCCTGACCAAAACCAAAACCAAGGCAATGAAGATAAATCAAAAACAGAAACATCTATATCTGAAGTCTGTTTTCTTCAAAAAAATGTAGGACAAACTGGTTGAATCAAATGCTAACATTCCCCTCCCCTAGAAAGAAAGTGAATAAATAGAACACTGTAAGGTAAAAATATGAACAAAACACACACCACCAACAAAAAATGAATGTGAATTCTCCAGTAGGACAGTCACTTCCCTTGATTTCTATTTTCTACCTCATGTTTTTGGGGAAACAATTCACAGATGATGTTCCTGAGAATGGTATGATGCAACTTTGGTGACTTTATTAGCTATGAAGATCCATCAACCCTGTGTGGTGATGCTGACTGAGGGGAAGAGTGCAGCAGAAAGGAAATTAGAGTACAGAAATCATTTCTCTAAACCATCAGTGATTGTTCCAGACCACTTTCATTCAAAGCTTTCCCTACTGTGATTTTCAGAAGGTCAAACCAGTCCTTTCCTGTAAGATCTAGGTGGTGAAACAGAGAAAAAAGGTCAACTGCCAATGTCTGGTTGGATGCACGGGATTCTTTTTTTGAACATGGTTTACCCTCAGTAAAAACTTGATGAGATAACTTGCAAAAAAGAGTGTATTTCAAATACCCAAGGCTTTCCCCAAAGTTTTGAATCAAATGCAAGTACAACTACTTAAAATTTTGAAAGGAGACATGCCACAATTTGTCCTTAAGTGAACACTAGTTGCAAAGCCAGTTGTGTGCAGGCTTTATGTACAAATTCTCTTCTAATACTTGAGTTTGCCTAAAACAGGTACTAGCTTGAAAATTATTCAAGATTTTTCCGTAAGAAGCAAACCACAATTTCAAAGACCCAGAAACTAACAATCAGGATTAGTAAATGTTCCCATGACTGACACAAGTCGTCTGGAAACAATACAATGTAGTTCAGACAGATAAATAAGAGCAGAGTCTAAAATCTCTTTTCTTAAACATACCTGCTCCATAGGTGATAAGAATGCGTGCTTTCTAAGGCATTTGGTAAAGTGCCTTGTGTATGGGAGTCTGATAAATGCTAGGTGTCAATGTTCAACAAACAAAATAAACACCACCGCCACCACCACCCCCCCCTACCACCCCCCCCATGCTGGTTTCTTCATCAACTTTTTAGTCCATATACATTACATTCATGTCTGATCCTAGTGGCCTTAAATGGCCATCAGAGTGTCTCAAAGAGTTGATCTGATGGCCAATGGCAATAATTTAGCCCATCAGAATAAAAATTTAAGGCTTATTCACTATTCAGAAATAATCAAATCAGTGTTAACTTTCTATGAATGACTTTGGATAACAACTTGGAAGATTAATGGATTAGCAAGGCCTTTGGGGGGCCAGGCTGCCGTGTTTTTGAGAAGCAAATTTCCTGTCACCCAGCACGCCTAATCAAATGCTTGCAGTGTATGGATTCTGAGACAAGTAATACAGACCACTCAAAGGTCTTCTGGCTCCTTTAATGAGTTCCTACTCGTTCAGTTACACCGATGAGGTTGCAAGACCCTGGAGAACAGAACCCCAGCGTCCAACCCCTCCCTTCACCAGGCACAGATCAATAATTTGTAAAAATAGGTGCTGAAAAAAAAGTATGGAGCACAAAACTCTTTCTCAACAAATGAGAGGCTGCTAATTTTAATACAAAAGCTCACACAATTTAAAAAAATGAGGATCCCAATAAGAAAAAATTACTAAAGGACAAGAAGATAAAGGAAGACAATGACAATGGAAGTATGCCCGGAAATGCTGGGAATCAATAATAATCAAAGGAACAAAAGGATGAGGGACCACTACGGGGAAGCCCACCAGCAGCAAACTGGGTGGGGCGCTCCTGGCGGGCAAGGACTCGCCTTACCCTGCTTTTTCCTGGGGTGGGGTGGGGTGGGGTTGGGGGCATTGCAGAGTACTTGGCTGCCCAGCGGTCTTCTACCATTCCAGCATCGTCAATTTTCCCTGGCTCACCTTTCTGACTCTGCATTGAAGAAACATTTCTGGTATGCTGTATGTTATTAGCTTCTGGGTTTCCCCAGGCTGGAAGGTTATAGACTTGCAGTAACTTTCAAATACCAGTACTTTTTTGCGCTGGGCATTTTTAAAAGGACATAACCAAGATCAGGGTAACCGAAGGCCTTAAGAGCTGGGCGTGGCTGCTCTCTGGGGGAACCCTCGCTCCAGCAAAACTCAGACTGTGGGTGAGTGAAAGGCAGGTAGGGCAGCTGACGCCCCTGGGCTCAACCTTGGGGACTGAGTCATTCCAAAGCTAGAGCTGCCGGAAACACGCCCCGCGCCGAAGGAGGAGGAGTCCCGTGGGCGCAACGCGGACCTCACTTCCTTGAGGCCAAGGAAGCCCTCCGCCCTCCGGGCTGGACCCGCACAAGCTGGAGGGTCTCCAGTCAAGATCCACTCCTTGTGCGCAGATACAATCCGCATCATTTTCGGGGCTGGGCTCTGATGGAGGCCGCCGGGGGTCTCCGGCCTAGAACTGCCCCACCCCACGCGGGTAGATCACCTCGCACGGGGAGAAGGAGTGGCGACCAGTGATCCGTGCTTTCTGCAAGGGGCCTTCCATCACCTTGCTTCTGCTCTAATCCAGATACAGAAAGGGGCCAAAGGTGGACCCCCTCAATCCCCTCACCTTCCCCGAATCTGAGTTACCAGGACAGGAGGCGCAGTTTGGGAACACCCGGGGCTCCCTGCGCACCGGCATCTCCCGGGCGCACAGGGCGCGGGGCAGTTCTGGGCACCTCAATTCCGCCCTCTGGGGACCTTCGTCCCTCTCCTCCCCTCCCCCAGGGCATGCTCGATAGTCTCGGGCGCGCTCAGGCCCCAGCTTCTCCCAATTCCAGGCCGAGACGCCGCGTCTCTTTGCCCCAGGGACTCGGAGGGGCGGCCTCCGCTCCTCCCGTCCGTGTCCTACCCAGCTACGGAGCCTATGCATTGCGCCCTGGCCGTCCCCAGGAGCACATACCTTGCTCTCGATCTGCTTCACCATCTTGGCTGCCGGAGCTCTCACGAACGACGGTAAGAAGCGATGTGAGCGGATCCAAGGAGCCGGAAAGAGCTTGCCGGAGGGAGCTCAGCCCGCCTTCCTTATATCAACGGGAAGGGGCGGGGCTGGGAGTGACGGGGCGGGGCGTGCGCGGCGAGCGTGCGGCTGGGACGCGCGCGCCCGGGGCCGCCGGGACCGCCCGGGCCGCCCGCGCCTGCGGTGACACCGGGTCGGCCCCGCCCCCGAGTCGTGAAGGCGCAAGCGCCCAAAGGAGCCCCGGGTCTCCCTGCCATCTGCCTTGACGCCGGGGGCGCCTCCTCCCGGAACCCCAGCTAAAAATGGTGATCAAGTGACCGAAAGGACACGTACGCTCCGCACAGCAGCGGGGAGGCGGATGGCCACCCCCAGAACCACCCGGATCACCTGGGAATGTGTCAGCCAGGCCTTAATCGATTACGCCCACTCGTGACAAAGGGACAGCCCTGCTGGATTCCTCGAAAAAGCCCGCCACGCCCTGGCCCCAGCCTCCTGCACCCCACAAAGTGCTGAGTAACGATGACCAGGAAGTGTCTCTGTGTGTGCGCCGTGGCCTCCTTTCGGAGTTTGCCGCCACGATTCTCTTTTCTTCTCTTCCCTCCCTCCAGTTTTTTCCCATTCCCCAGAGAAGCCACTGCTTCTGTGTGACAAAGCATTGAGTGCGGCATAGACGGCCGCTGGACTGGCTGGGCTCTGTGAGATGTTAGTGCCGCTAGGGTGAGCGCTGCAACTTAGTTACAGACCTCCCGGGTCCCAGTTATCTTTTGTAGTAAAATAGGAATCGTAGTGGTCTCTATCTCACCACCGTGGTGGTGTTTTGAGGGTTAAAGTGCTCAGGCCAGTGAGTAGCAGACAGTAATCATTCAGTCAGTGCTATGTAGCTGTTGTGACTACTAATGACGCTTGTTTGGTCACCTTATAGATAACAGTATTTGCAGTGGCTCTAGTGCACACTTCACTGGGAAGTCGGAGTGAGAATTGAATCAGGGACGGATGTTGTAGGGTTGGGTCTGGCAGAACTGGGATTGCAGCAGTAAAGAATAGACTGTATAAAAAAAGTCTCAGAGAAAAGGGCTTTTTCCCTACAAAGGATAGAAAAAAAGTGGGCTGGACTGTGGGCGTAAGGAGCAAGGTCCCCCGCTTACAGGGACATGAGAAACTGAGTTCTAAGGATTTCAGTGGTGGCAAGGAGGTGACGTTCTACCAGGAGAGTGAGGTGCAGGGGATTTGTCTGGGACGCCCGAAGAGAGAGAATCTGTGCGGAGAAATGTGGGGATACAAGAAGAGAGAGGGTAATGCAAAGGCCTTCCTTTTTGGGACGTGGCTCTGTGTATTAGTCAGAACTCTCAATTGCAAGGAGAAATTTTTGACTTAGAGCAAAAAGAGATTACCACGTGTTACACAATCACCATTATCAGGAACTCCTGGGGCTTGAAGGTGTCAGGAAGGCACCATCTCTATTGTTTCATTCCCAGGCAGGTTGTTTAGGTAAGACTGGCCCAGGTAGCTCTAGGCATAGGTCCCTATTAGTTTAGCAGTTCTGCGGGAAGAGCATCCCTCTCCCTTGTTTTAGTAAATGCCCCAGAGGCTGACCTTTTACTTGGGTGGAGGAGGGGTTAGTCTTGCTTAAACCTGTGGGCAATCCAGGGAGTTACCAGAGATAGGGATGATGGGTGCTGGTCTAGCAAAAATGTTATTTTCACATCATCAAGCAGAACAGAAATGAGTAGCATGGGTGATGAGCTTGCTTCAGGTTTCTGGGTCAGCTCAGTTGGAGGCTTGAGGGAGTGGAGAAGTAGGTCAGCTGTCTTTGTTTGGGTCCCCAAACTGGATTTGAAGAAAATGCAGCCAGAGGTCTTCTGAAACAAGTTTTTCTTAGATCTCAGGTTTCTCTGAGTGTGGTTCTTAACTGCCTAATTTCACGTAGCAGGTGGTTCTTGTAATACTGTAGATTCCTGGAACACACCCAGGCAAACATATGGGAATCACAGTCTTTTGAGGTAGAGCCTTGGAATCTGCACTTAGAAAAAAAATCCCAGGTGATTAGGTGCACTAAGATTTGATGAACTTTGGGGTGGGATCTTCAGAGGGAGGCCAGCGGTAGTTAAGCTTGAAGACAGCATCTAGGAAGAGACTTGAGATGAAGACACAAGAGAACATGGCTAAGTGACGAGGGGAGGTCAAAGTACTATGGTACAGAAAGCTGGAGACCAGTGGTTCTCAACCACTAAAGCCACGACCCTTTAATACAGTTCCTCACGTCGTGGTGCCCCCCAACCATAAAATTATTTTTGTTGCTACTTCATAACTGTAATTTTGCTACTGTTATGAATTGTAATGTAAATATCTGATATGAAGGATGTATTTTCATTGTTACAAAGGGGTCACAACCCATAGGTTGAGAACCTCTGCTGTAGAAGGAAAAAGAACAAATAAACATGGGTGCCGGCCCCAGAGCTGGGTGTCAGGCTCAAAGCCGGGTGTGGTTCATTGTTTATCTCAACTTCCCTTAGGAGATAGATGGTGTATCATTCTCCATATGTATTTAATGAAAGTTCAAGAGGTTACCTCCTTATACATCTGATAATCTCTGTTCAGGAAGAGAAGGAAGTGCAGGCATAGTTTTAAAACCCATCCACATATCTCAAATACCCCTCATTTAATCTGCAAAAAAACCCCTAACATCCCAAACTGATTTGCAAACACTAGAGATTACAGTACTTCAAATGTTAACTACAGTAGAACCTCTATAAATTGATCACCCAGGGGACTATAACAAACAGGTCAGTGAACAGAAGGAGTCATCATGAGGAACCAGGCCTCTTGTACTGATATGTACACATGGGGCACGTCCAGTCTCTGAGAACTAGGTCATCTTAAGGAGGTGGTTAATGTAGGGAGGTGGTCAATTATGGAGGTTCTACCATATTTAGATTTTTTACACTTGATCTTAGCCAAAAGGCTGAGAAGTGATGTATTCAGATTTTCAAATAACTGATTTGCACATAAATACATAATACACTTTCAATGCTAAATATTTAATGTAAATTTTGGACAATATAGAAATTCCTGTGAATAACCTACCTGTATAACACTGCTGCCAATAACCCCTAATCTGGCCCAGTGGTTCACCCCTGGCCCCCTTGAGCCCTTTTACTGTGTACCCTGGAACCACCTGGGTTCAGCGAGCACCACTATATTCTTAGATGTTTCTTTTGCTTTAACTGAAATTTTTGCTCTTGCCAGTGTCTATAACTGCCTGGTCCATGTAGGTTAGGGCCAGGAGGTCAGGCAGGGCTGCTGCTTCCAGATTCTCACAACATGCAACAAAGTTACTTAAAATTCACTGCAATTCCTAGAAGAAGACATTGGAGTTAATCTTTGCATCTTTGGGGGAGGCTGACATTTCTTAGTTGGTCACAGAGATCATTAGCTATAAAGGAAAAAGTTAATAAATTTGACCAAGAAAAGTATACGAGGTGATGTATATGCTAATTAATCTGATTTAGCCATCCCACAATATATACATATATTAAAACATCAATATATGCACTTTTTACTTTTCAATAAAATTTGAAAAAGAAAAAACCCAACAGGAGATAAAGTCAGCAGTTTTGCAGAGCTGTGAGGGCATGTATGCTCCAGTGGGTGGGTTTTACTTCATATTAAATTGTCATATAAAGAAAATAAAAATGAAGTTATTAAAACTGGGGAAAAAATCCATTATTTAAAAATAAATGAAAAGGCAAATCACAGACTGGGAAAGGGTATGCTCCATATGGAGGCTGAACAAAGGACTTATATCCAGAACGTGAAAGAACCCTTGCAACTCAGAAGACAAGCAACCGGCAAAACATGGCAAGAGATTTGAACATAGATTTCTTTTCTTTTCTTCTTTTCTTTTTTTTTAGAGACAGAGTCTCACTTTCTTGCCCTCAGTAGAGTGCCGTGGCATCACACCTCACAGCAATCTCCAGCTCCTGGGCTTAGGTGATTCTCCTGCCTTAGCCTCCCAAGCAGCTGTGACTACAGGCACCTGCCACAATGCCTGGTTATTTTTTTGTTGCACTTTGGCCGGGGCTGGGTTTGAACCTGCCACCCTCAGTATATAGGGCTGGCACCCTACTCACTGAGCCACAGGTGCCGCCCTGAACATAGATTTCTTAAAAGAAGTTATGTGAATTAGCAAGAAGCACATGAATAGACATACCTGTACAACACTGCTGCCAATAGCCCCTAATCAATGCTCAATGTCTTTTTTTCCCCTTTAATTTCAGGTTAATGTGAGGTATAAAAACCAGGTCATAATGTTTGAATTTTATAGTCCCTCTTGTAGTTATGTCCTGCACCCAAAAGGTGTGCCATGCACCCCTACATTGTGCCTATTTAGTGGCAGCACCCTGAACCCCCTCTCCTTTTTCCCCCTCTCTTGTTCCCTCTCCCTCTAACTTGAATTGAAATGAGTCTTTCTCTTATGTGGGTGTGTATTACATCCTCTGCTGGCTTCATATTAGTATTGAGTACACTGGATATTTCCTTTTCTATTCTTGTGATACTTTACTAAGAAGAATGTGTTTGGACTCCATCCGGGTTAATACCAAAGATGTGACGTCATCCTCTTTTTTTTTTGCAGTTTTTGTCCGAGGCCGGGTTTGAACCCACCACCTCCGGTATATGGGGCCAGCGCTCTACTCCTTTGAGCCACAGGCGCTGCCCATGTCATTTTTTTTATGGCTGAATAGTATTCCATGGTATATATATACTACAGTTTGTGAATCCATTCCTGGGTTGATAGGTATTTAGGTTGTTTCTACATCTTGGTGATTGCAAATTGAGCTGTGATGATCAATCTAGTGCAAATGTTTTTATAATAAAATTATTTTTTTTGTTCTAAGTCAGTAGTTCTCAACTTTCCTAATGCTGCGATGTATTTTCATTGTTACAAAGGGATCGCGACCCACAGGTTGACAACTGCTGTTCCAGGTAGATGCCTAGTCTAGGGATTTCAGGGTCAAATGGCAGCTCTAATTTGAGTTCTTTGAGGATTCTCCATACTTTTTTCCA